AGAAGGCTCCGAGGACCAAAACAGGGAACTGCACCAAATGGGAGACTGTTTTCACTTCACCAACTTCTGAAATATGCCAGCTTTTAACATGCCCAGAAAAAAAAGGCAATTATGGGAAATATTTTCGGGGGGGGGGGAGAATGGCAACTAATGGGCACCGTGTAAAGCAGACATGTCAAACACAAGGCCCAGGGGCCGGATGCAGCCCACGAAGTGGTTTCATGTGGCCCACGAAACCATCCTGGAAACAATGAGGGAACGGCCCCCTCTGCCTTGGCCCTGGCCCAGGCTGGCTGGGAGCCAATGTACAATTTTGTGGTGGCCATCTATGCTGAAACGCATTCAGTCTTAGCTCCACAAAGCCGTCTGGAAACAGTGAGGAACCAGCCCTTGCCACGTCGGCCCCGCCCCCTGGGTGCATACAGGGGAAGTGTCACCCTTTGGGAGGAATGAAGAAATGGACCATGCCTTGGCGCTTATCCTGGTCCCACCTCCTTCTGCCAGAGACCCTCAGATCTGTCCCACTTCTGCCCAGGCCCCCACAGGCACCCTTGATGCAAACGATGTAGAACTGGCCATGCCCACCCAGTAGGCTGCACCCACCCTGGCCACACCCACCCAGCCCCCTGAGGGCAACCGCAGTGCTGATCCGGCCCTCAATGAAATTGAGTTTGACACTCCTGGTGTAAAGACTCAATAGCTTCTATTTGATGAGATCTATATTGTTTTTAGATGATGCCCAATGGGACAGAATAAAGATTGGAAACATTGTGCTCTAGATCAGCGGTTCTCAACCTATGGGTGGCGACACCATTTGGGGTCGAACGACCATTTTACGGGGGTCGCCAAACAATGCGAACTGCCATTTTCCCCCCTCAGGGGGCGGCGCCGCGCATGGGGGCTGCGCATCCATGTGACGGGGGTCACCGACACACAAACGTTGAGAAACGCTGCTCTAGATGGCTGTTCCCCACCTACCTTTCACAGATAATTCCTGATTTAATTTTCTCTTCCCAATAAGTTCTCCTCCAGCTGTTTGGAATTCCAACAATGATCATTTCCCAAACAGCACAATCTTGTTGGCTGGAGCTCATTGTCCAATTTGTGGGACTTGGGTTTTTTTCACCCTCTCAGATATCCAAACTCCCTCATTTTCACCCACAGTCCTGATTCTTCCCAGTACTGAGCTAAGCCTGGATTGGTCCTCAAGCTAAATAAAGTTGCTTACCCTTGATTTAAAAAATGAATCATCTGGCATTCTAAGAGAAAGTTACAAAGGGGTTGTGTAGAGCTACCCCATTATTTTAGTCCAGGAGTAGGCAACCTTGGCTCGTTTATGACTCGTGGACTTCAACTGCCAGAATTCTTGAGCCAGCCATGCTGGCTCAGGAATTCTGGGAGTTGAAGTTCACAAGTCATGAAAGAGCCAAGGTTGCCCATCCGTTTTAGTCCTTTTTGTATCCCCTGTAAGAACATAACACCCTGAGAATAAATTCTGTTGGAACAGGCCAAGGGCACATCCGAGTTCAGCATTTGGTTCCTCAGAGTAGCCAGACAGATGCCTCTGAGTGCTGAAAAACAGATGTAGACATACTGCTGTCTACTTACGCCTCTGCTCCTGTTCTCCTGTAATTTGATGGATTTGTTCTCCCATGGTTTTTTTTATAATCTGCTTTTAAAGGCAGCCTAGTTAATGATCAGCACCATATCTCTTTTTATTTTCAGATTAATGATGTGTGAAGAATTTTTTGTCTAAATATCTTCCAATTAGCTTTATTGGATGAGTTGTAGTCCTTCCATTGTAGGAAAGGGAGAAAACCTCTTCGCAACTCAAGCATGGAGTTATATACTTCACTGTGTTCCCCTACCACCTTTGCCTTTTTCCAAACTAAACAACTGGAAAGGGAGGGCTTCTGTCTTGCAGTGGCTTTCCTCCTTCCTTAGGTTTTTGACTCAGTTTAAGGACGACCATGCATGCTAAGAAAATTGTCAGGTTCTTTGAACAGGTTGTCAAATGTACCCCTTGTATTGTATCGTTACAAAGGAGTTGAATTTTCCTACTCTTTCAAAGCAAGTAAGTTCTTTTTGAAGCAGAATTTGTATCACCTTTTAATCAGATTTTAGCAAGCTACTTGTGATGATTCATGACAGCAGGTCTCATACAGCGTGCACTTAACAGTCCTTGGTCGCAGACATCCCCATTTCTCCAAAAAAAAAATATCATTGGTTATTTGAGTGCCCCACTCCCCAGTTATTTGTTTAGACCAAATTTTTGTGACTAATATATTTTGTTATTAATGCAACTTGTTTTGTCCATAAGCAAAAGTCAAACAAGTTCAGCAGCCTACCAGTTCCCACTATGGAGCGGAAACATTTGGGACCCAGCACAAAATGTTGCAATATATCAGTATCCTTCAGAAGAATGTTTCATTTTAATCAACAGGAACTCTGAGCAGGAAGAGACTGAATTAAAACATTCACAGTTGAGAGACTGAAAAATTTTTGCCTGTTAAAATTTTCTGTTTGAAAAGCAGCAGCATCTTCAGCTCCCAACTTCCTTAGTCTGCGCTTGTTCATCGCTATTTTATTCTCTAACCTTCAGCATCATTGGAAAATGAGTAAGGCCCCATCCTCAAGTTGATCCCAGCTCATCAAACTTTGGATGGGCAACATGGCACCGTAACGTTTCTGAAGTAGAATGACTGTGATGCTTTCAGCGAGGATAAAGAATTGCCCAAATACATATGTCCACATTTTATAAGTATGACCCAAAAGAACCAACCCCTGCTTAGAAACGCAACTCCACTTCCCAATCCCAAATACTGTGTATGCAAATAATGTTCAGTAATTTCAATAGAATTTTGTTCCAAACATTTGCTAGAATTTCAGAGACATGATTACTGGGCCCTATGTTTATGGATTACCAAATATTTTTCCCGTCATTATACAGAAGGAAATATTCCCTGATCGTTTTTTTTTGTCTATACCAGATCTTTCTTTTAATGTGTAGCACATTCAGTATCTGAACTGCAGAATGAGAATGTCTAACAATTTCTGGGTTCTGATCTTTTTGCCCTTCAATCTTCAAATTGCATTCACTTTCTTGAGTTCCAGTTAAACAAGTGTTTTCAAAAAGGTATCTGCTTTTCAAGGGTGTGCGTGTGTCTGAACATTCACAGCAACAAATTGGTTTGGCAAAACCAATTCTAGGTACAAAGAGTTTTATATCAAAAGCAGATTCAACAAACTATGTGACTGAAATACTTGGAAATCCATTTATTTACCAGATACTCTACATATGAATAAGATTCTACTAAAGGAGCCATTTTCAGAATGATTCAGGATAACTGTAATCTAAGACAATTAAAGGACAGGATCTACCTGTTCACATCAAAAGCAAGAATTTGAAAATTATCAGCATTGCAGCTGCTCTTATTGGCGAAACAGCCCCCAAATCTTTTGATTTATCCTTAACATAGGAAAAATATGGCAATTTGAGCCCATTGGCAGGTATTATATAGCAAGCAAACACTGTGAAAGAAAGCACGAACCATTTGAACCTCAAATATAAAATTGTGTACTTAAGGGGGGGAGGAACGGGCAGCTGGGTGCAACTTTGGGAGCAGAAAGAGTACAAGGATGAATGCTTTCACATAAGTGGCTAGTGCAGGATTTTAGATCTGGAGAGGTTTGGAGGGTTTCTTAAAATATTTTTCTTAGGAGTGTGAAGTCCATCTGACTTCTGGAACCTTTTTTTTTTTTTTTTGTGGGGAAGCAATTTCTGTGGATAGACCAGACATGTCAAACTCGTGACATCGCGCAACATATCAGGAGAATTTTGCCATTGACGGCAATGGGGTGAGCGTGACTTCCGCATGATGCGTCCGGCCCATGGGCCGGCGGTTTGACACCCCTGGGATAGAGAGAGGAAAATTGTTTGATCACAGAACTTTGGCAGGATGATGTCTGGAGGGGCTGCTAGAAAGGAAGTTCATGAGTTACACATCATCTGAACATTGCACACCTTTATATTGTTAAGAACTGAAGCTTTTTCACAACCAGAGCAAAGGGATCTGGGAGCAGGACTGTGTAGAGCAGTGTTTCTCAATCTTGACAATTTTAAGGCATGTGGACTTCAACTCCCAGAATTCCACAGCCAGCAATGCTGGCTGTGGAATTCTGGGAGTTGAAGTCCACATGCCTTAAAATTGTCAAGGTTGAGAAACACTGGTGTAGAGGATGTTTTACATTCAGCAATGTTAAGGCATTATAAGTAGAAAGCATGGTGCCATTCTACAAACAGAAATTCAGTGTTTCCAAAGAAAAATGCAAGTGCAAAAATATCTCAAATGCCACACAGAATTCATTTCTCATATTTTAAGACTCTGGGCTACCACAGGAATTTTCAGCATATCCCCCATGTTGAAGAATATAATTCTGCCTAGTATATTGCCTTTTTCTCCTCAGATCATATGGAGGGGAAAAAAGAGTGTTTCACAAAACTACACTGTAGAGGAAAAGCAAGTGAAACGTGCAGAAATTAGGCAGGATTATCTTTATCTCAGAAGATCCACAATACTGTAATACTTCCTTGCACACTAAAACCCTGTTCCCAGGGTTCCAGTTTGCATGTGTCCACAAAATTACAGTACTTGTGGAAATTGTCTTTTCAGTCATAACAATCCTAACAAATCCCTCCCCCCAAATTGGAGAGCTCTCACTGGTGTGGCCAGGCCTTCATTACTGAAAAAGGGTTCCCAATAAGGAATGACAATTTTCTATCTCAAGAAAGGCTAGGCACATTCCAGGTCAATGTAATTGGAGGGAGGACAGGCCTCCTTCCACCGAGCTAAAGGGATAGAAAGAGGAAAATACAGCAGGCACGCATCAGCACATCTCAAGCATTCTCCTGTATAGATTTTCTCCTGCACATACATTTTTTGGCATTATGCGTTCCTCATACATCAATTTTCCTTTGCAAAATATAAGAACGGATTCCATTTGAGAATAAAATCAATGATATTTTAAGGAGTTTAAATCATTCAACTCTATAATACAGTCCACATACAAGGGGTTTGCCATCCAGAAAGAGAAGGCATTGTAGCTTTTTGTTCAAGTACCTTGTCATCATTTCACAGATTTTGGGTGATATAAAAACTGCTGCCTTGCTGCATGGCTAGAGAATTACATAGATGTAATTCACACTCTCCAAACGAACAAAAAATAACTAACATGAACACGTACTGCTTTTCACTGGAAAGAGCTATGTGGCACTTAAGCAATTTAAGAAAAAAAAATGTTTGACTCCCCAATCTGAAACAAGTTATGTGGAAGGAAGACTCTGCAAGGGTCTACTTTCCGATCAAGAGTTTTCAACCCACAGATAAAAGCAATGCATTCCACACAATCGTTCCAAAATAAACCATCAGTTGTATACAATGCATTCTTAGAGAGTAAAAAGGAACAGTGCATCGTCTTTTCACGTTCAGGTTGGAGGAAATGTTTTGCCTTTTCAGCAAGAGAACCACTACAAAAATCTAATCATGTTTAGCCATAATTTAAGTAAAGTTTAGCCTGCCTTGCCAAAATATTTTACTCATTAGCGAAAGATGTGCTCATTATCACTTTCATCTCTCATTATGATGGAGAATATTCTTCTGAGAAAACTTAAGAGAATAAAGATAAATCTGTATTTTTTTTTTAAAAAAAAATCCAATACCTTTTTCACTTTCACACTAGATTCTGCATCTGCAATCCACAACACTCCTTTCGATCAGATAAACCTGGTTTCTTGCATTTTCAAGGACATTTTGTTCCCTCTGAGACCCAACCCTCCCCACATCAAAGCTTAACTATGCTGCAATTGCTCCGGAGATTTCCTTCATGTTTCAGAAGCAGTTTTGCAAGTGGCAAAACAGATAGTTGTCTTATCTCATCTGTCAGGGGACATAACATACAAGCTCTGCTCTGTTGCCTGGCTACATGTGAAAAAATGTTGAGCACAGGAAAGCTCGCATGATAAAAGAATAAATCAGAAAAGACTGGACCAATTTTCTTCAGGGCCAGTAAAGTGAGATTGTCCAGGTCGTCAGTTTGCAGATTCTAAATATATGAAATTTGAAACTCACTAAGCAGCCGAAATGTTTAGCATTCTCCAGCCTTTCCCAAAGTGATACCCACCAGGTGGGAAATAATGGGAGTTGTAATCCATCTGAAAGGCACCATGTTGGGGAAGGCTGCATTGAGCAATGATTCGCTATTACTCCTCTCCCTACTGTCAGTCCAGAGTAAGATTTCTTCTGTTTAAATTATTTTACAGATTTATAGGTTTTCCTAGACACCAAGATCTTTGGAAAATGATGCTCGTCACACTCGCTGTCGATATCTAAGGAAGGCCCATAATAGAGTTGCTGCTGCTGCTATGGCCAGCCCTGGCACCAAAACCATAGTCAAAGGAATCCCTCCTGGATCTCCATCTCCTCGGTGGCTTGAGGGACCATTCTGGGGCAGCAGCTGCAATCAGAAGGAGAAGAAAGGCATTAGCAATTGAATGAAAAGAGGAGGTGGTTCATCTTTCTAAGAACATTTAGAAAATCAAAGACAACCCACGTCTTCACGTTGGCAAAATTGAAAATTCTCTTCCAAGGATGTATTCAGCCAAGCTACTTTTGAAAGCTTGTGCATGTCCTAGTGAGATAAGTGGGATTCCCACGTTACGCTTGAGAAAAAGATAGAGGCCTCTAGGGCAGTGGTTCTCAACCTTTTTAATGCCATGACCCCCAACCGGTCGTAAGTCGACGACTACTCAACCGGTCGTAAGTCGAGGACTACTCAACTGGTGCAGCACCGTTTGCAGAATGGGACTTTTGGCGGGCTCAGCAGGGCAGAGACAGCCTGGACAATTCCTATTGGCTTTTGAAAGCCAATAGAATTAGACTCTATTCAAGAGAGTCTATTCTATTGGCTTTCAAAAGCCAATAGAATAAAAGGGAGTAGCACAGCTAAGGAAAAGGGGGGGAAAAATGGCGGACTGCGTTGTTTGGCAACCCCCACAGGTTGAGAACCACTGCTCCAGGGAATTACTTTTCACCGTTACTTTATGGAAAACCTAAAAGATCTCCTTCTCACACCCACCCTATTGAGGAAGCTGATCAATCATTTCCATTTGCAATCACACCAAAACAAGCAAACAAACTGTACTGCAATCTTAGAATGAATTGAAACTCCATTGCATCTCTCTCTCTCTCTCTCTCTCTCTCTCTCTCTGTGTCTCTCTCTCCCTCCCTCCCTCCCTCCCCCCCCCTCTCTTCTGAAAATCTTTCCTGTAAAACTGTAGGTCCGGGCAGTTGCTATTTCAAAAGCTAGGTACCTTTCTTGCTCTCAACATTAATCAAATCAATCTGGCGATTTTGCTATGGCATATCATTATAGATAATCCACAACATTTTGCCACTTGATAGGTTACCTTAAGGTTTCCATTACACCATAACACATATACAAGTGTACATCAGCTTCCCCAGACTGCTCTTGTTCAGATGCGTGAGACTACAACAGTTGTTTGTGGGCCATTTTGGCTGGCAATTCCCAACACATCTGAAGAATATAATATTGGGAAATCTGATACAAGCTGCTCACATTCAACTTCTGTTACTTATCTGTTATGTTTCTCCTTAATTTTTCTTATCTATCTCTTGCCAGACTTACATTGTTTAAGTATCCTAATTTTTCCATGCAGTGGATTTTACTTGGAGGGACTATACAACAGCAGCAACAGTTTAAAGCAGTTTTTTCCAGCATGATGCTGTTCTGATACAAGATACTGCAACTCCCAAAATCCCTCAGCCATTTGGCCTTGAGGATGGGAAAAATAATATCAGCTTGTTCATTCCATTTTGAGGGCACAAACTTAGAAAACAGTGGTTTGTAGCAGAGATGTTCAACATGTATGTTCCTCATCAAATCATGCCAATCTGGATTGTCTTGGTGTAGCTTGGGGTTTTCCTGAAGTAAATTCTTTGAAGTACTTTAGGGAACAGAGAGCTACGAAGGCAAAAAGCAAAAACTAAGGAAGAGGCCTACATACCCTGTGCTGAACCTTTAATGAAACATTGTCACCAGCTGTCCTGAAAAGTTCCACAACATTCTTGTGCAGCATGTTCTTCAACTCATTATCATTAACCTGAAAAAAAACAACAACAACACATAAAGCCAATTAGGTATTCACCATAAAGCTGCCTGGACCCAAACCATCACTAAAGAACAAAAGCCTAATTAGAATGAGTAAATCTACTCAATTAGTTAGAATACCATAATTAGTACAGAGCATTTAAGTAATACATTCCAAGTGTTTCAAAGGCTCAAGTTTTCCCCTTATATTTTCATTAACTGCCAGCATTCTCAGTATATTCTGTACAAAGAACAGCGTACAGTATAAATTAGAACTGTACCTCAGCATTTAAGAACGTGAGCTAATATAGAATACCATCAACTTCAAAGACCTTTAAAATGTTAAGAAATGGAAATAAAACTATGATCAATGATCAGACACAATGCTGTAAAACAAAGGCAGGCAATTTGTGGCTCTTGTAGCCTCTTTTTGTAGCCTTTAGAGCTTCTGATGATGTTTATTGGAAACTGATAGCAGCTCCCTGTCATTCTGATAGAGATTACACTTCCATTTTCATATGTCTCCCAACATAAACACGGTAAAGAAAACAACAAAGGAAACCTCAATTCCCTGCAAACGTTGAGTCCCACTTATATGTGTGATGTGATTGTAGCTCTTGTAATATTCAGTGTCATTCTTGTCTATGAATTGCCCACACTCTAATATAAAAAAGGACATGATAGACGACTCTTCCTTCTAGCTCTAAATGTTTGCTAAAAAAAACCACATCTGCAAAAACTGTAGGTTCCTACAATTCAATTAGCTTAAGTTTCACAGATGAAGAATCATGTGCCCATTTCAAAGGAGAACAGTTATACTTGTAAAGAGAAAAACAATCCTCAAAACAAGGGTGCCTATTTTTTCATGGACCAAAGGCCATATATCACTGCCAACTGGCACGCCAGGACAGCTGTACCAAAAACAGACGGGGGGGGGAGGGGGAGAGAAATGGCAATAGCAACAACACTTAGACTTATATATCAATTCATATTGCCTCAAAGCACCCTCTAACTTAAAAATGTGCTTAAAAATATGACAGTCCCAGAACATCTAGTTCTCCTCACCTGTACAGAAGTCAGAAAGCCACTATATGTACAGAACATGGTGAAATAGGCTGGCTCCAAGTTGTCAAAAGAGTGAGACAAAGTTATATACTCTCCGCTTAAGTACTCCATCTACATGTATATTCAGGGAACTTGGATTGGAAGAAGAGGAGCATAATTTTAAATAGCCACAGATTTATATACCACTCCATACAATGCTGCCTGAGCAGTTTACAATGTCAGCATATTGCTCCCAACAATCTGGGTCCTCATTTTACCGACCTTGGAAGGATGGAAGGTTGAGTCAACCTTAAGTCAGTCAGGATTGAACTCCTGACTGTGGACAGAGTTAGCCTCCAATGTTGCATTCTAACCACTGCACCACCATGGCATAATACTTAAAATACAGTTAAAGTCTCTAGCAGCACATTTGACCCTATACCTTTATTCCACGTGCCTTTTTTCAAGAAAAGGTGCAACATATTGTTAAGGTTTATTCTGCCCCAGAGGCAAACTTCCAAGTCAGACAAGTCACATACGGGATGGATTAGCAATTGAATGAAAGGACCTTTGGACAGAAGACAAATTATTCTCTTCCACTCTTTCTCAACCATTCTGGCTGGGGAATTCTGGGAGCTGACATCCACATATCTTAAAAGTTGCTAAGGTTGAGAAACACTGTCCTATGCAGCTGGAGATGAGGCAAACTCATATTGTGGCTGTAATAAGGCCTGTCCAGATGTTATAAGTGCTTCTTTCTTCATCATTCCCTTCATATCAAAATTAGTTTAAGAAGACAGAGTATTAGATTGGGGAAATCTGTTATATAATGGAGTGACATATCAACAAAATCTTGGTCTTGAATTTTCTTAGTGATACCGATTGGATGGATTTACAGAGCCAGCTAGTACTGTGAAGAGATAGTAAATGTTTCTACATTATTCTCCCCTCCCCCTCCTCCTCCTCCTCCTCCTCCCCCCATGAAACAATTTCACAGGACAGAATTAAATTATTTACTGCTATAATCTTGTCTCCCTCCTGAAGGCGGCCATCAAGTGCAGCAGCTCCATTTTCTTTGATCCGGCTAACGTAAATGCCGCTGTCATTGGCGATATACTGCTGGTCAGTCCCACCAACTATATTAAATCCCAAGCCTAAGAAAAAGATCAAAAGGAAAAGTTTAAATAAAATAAAATAAATGGGATCACTCCCCAGCCCAAAACTAGCAAGAAGGAAAAAACTCGGAACAATGAAACTATTCCTTTCAACTGTAATAAAGCGTCTTGAACCAAATTAAACAGCAATTGGCAACAGTGCCTATTTGGTTATTTTAAATACTTGTACTTCATTAGCAACAGTGCACAGTTTGAATGGCAGCACTCAGCATACCTTGGATGATCCAGCAGGCTAAATTTAGTTTGGCCCCTTTATATTCAACTGTAGACTACATAGGGAAGGGTTTTTTTGGAAAATTCAAAATCACTTTTGTACTATTGTACAATAGTTGTTCTGTGGCAAATTGTCCCATGGCAAGTTGGCTGTGGCAAGCTGGTCGTGATGAGCTTGCTGTGGTGAGTTGTCCTAAACCAGGGGTCTGCAACCTTGACAACTTTAAGACTTGTGGACTTCAGCTCTCAGAATTCTGGGTGCTGAAGTCCACAGGTCTTAAAGTTATCAAGGCTGCAGACCCCTATAAAGCAATACTAAGCAAAATGGTTGCTTCAGATACAAGTTGTCAGCTATGAGACACAAGTTGTGTGCCATTTATTTGACTTAACTTTAACACCCAAAGTCATAAAACGGCTATAAAAATGTAAAACACTGGAAAAATATTTTTCACCTAATGAAGAAAAAAACATTATGGTTACACATAATTTCTGTTTTGATTTGGTTTTAATACTTGTGGTTTTAATATTTTTATTGATGTTGTTTTATCTTCTGGTTATAAGCTGCTCAGAGTTTGATACAAAATGGGCAGATATATGTTTTAAAGAAATAGATCTCTAAAGGCAATTAATACACAAGATAGAGATGACCAAAGCAATGATGTACTTGCAACAACCTTGTGAAAAAGGAAAGAGGAGTCTGAAAACAGGGGGAAGGTATCTGTCCCAAGTAAAAATTGTTAAATGACTTCATATTATTGGGAGTAAAAACTATTTTTGTCTGCTATAGAACTAGAGAAATTGGGAAAAATACAGTTGAATTCAGAAGGGAGAAATCATCTTACAGCAATCCCAGAATAAACATTCACTTTTAAGACTGCAACACATGGGGTATTTTTTCTATTGGTCACAATGGATTAAAATTTACATTCTTTCATATCTTTAATCTAAGAAATCTGGAGCAGGGGTACCAAATGATATCCGGTATCATGAGATATACAATTGTCACTCACTTCTCTTTCTCCTCCCCATAACTTCACTGCTTTATTAACTTCATAATGACCAAACAATATTCAGCAAATACAAACTCCTAACACACACAGAATTAAAAGTGAATAAGACAATCATAAAAACACATGCATGCATGCATCCAGGCACTCATTCAGATACTACAAGGCACATTTATTTCTGGACTAGAATCTGACTAATCCAGATTCTAGCATAATGATTGATATTCCACTAGGTGTCACTAATGTCCAGTAGAGCCTTATGGCTTGCACTTTTAAGATTTTGTTTTCTGTTATTTAGTGGCTACCTTTAAAAAATATATATAAATTCTGCTATAGTTAGTGGAATGTTGATATTAAACTTAGCAATTTTGGAAATGTATGGATTGGAATGTAAGCTATAAATACATTTAATATAAACATAAACACTGTCATCCCATAGTTTATTAAAGAATAAATGAATCAAATTATCCAGACTGCATATTAAAAAACCAGCAAAAGTACAAGATAAAAAAACTACAACAACTCAGTAATTCATTGTTGGGTTTTCCTTGCATGCTTTTGATCCAAACAAGGATTAAACTGAATTTAAAAAAATGTTTGCCCTTTAATTAGAGGATACAGTCCCAAGAATGCCTGTATTTTTTAACAAAGAAACCTAGAATGATCCATTTGGAACAAAGATTATTCCCTAGGCAGCACAGTGTTAATGAGATCTCAGGGAGAATTTTAATGTTGTCTTCAAACTGTATGAATTGTAATATCCAACTTTTTACTGTAACGCAGTAAACAAAGGTATCAAACATAAGCCATCATACAAAAACTTTAAAAAAAACACCCGCAAATCTAAATAGATTAAGCATCACATATTCACTTCAAACATCTGTACATACAGAGAAAAATAAATGTAGTGAGTTTTTTATCACCTTCTTGCTCCAATAAACTTGGAATAGGGCAAGCAGGAATAATGTTTTTTTCATGAAAATCATCCATTAAGTAGATGAGTAAAAAAAATTACTTTAAGAAATACCTAAACAACAGTGAAGCTGAGTTGAGTCCAGAACAAGTCCAGGATGGTATCTTATAAATTGTTCTCACTGGTCAAGCTGATTGGAGCTTCTGAGAGTGGAAATTTCGCAACATCCGAAGATCACAAGTTGTTCTGCCTTAAACCAGTCTGGCTTGACTCTTGTTCTAATCTCCAGTGTGAAAACCAGATATACTGTAGGCTGAGATAGAATTCTCTCACACACATTTTCTGCATAAATGGTCTCTCCAAACCTTCCATTTCCCTTTATAGTGTAATCGTGTATGCCTACTTTGAAGTAAGTTCTTTCAAGTTTAATAGGAACTGAAGAAGCTTCTTGGATGAGAAATGAAACGTCTTCAAAGGAAAAACAAGAAAGACCAGTTGCCTTTTGAAAAAGCACCTTTGGGACAACCATGACCTGAATGACTGAGAATCCCCATAGACAAGTACAGTTTAATAGGAGTTGTCTATGGAGATTCTCAGTCATCCAAGTCATGGTTGTCCCAGGGATGCTTTTTCCAAAAGCAACTGGATTTTGTTTTTCCTTGAAGACATTTTATTTCTCATCCAAGAAGCTTCTTCAGTTCTTACTGAATGATGGAGGATGGAAGATTTTATATTTCTTGCAGTCATCTAGTTTAATAGGTGGTTCCATACAGTGCTGCAGACTCAATGTAGCATTTGACCATACCTAAAATGCCAAATATTTTTGCATCAACTTTCACATATAAAAAGAGAGAGAGAGAGAGATAGCCTCAAACAGAGTTCACGTTCAAGGGAAACCTGTTCTTTGAGGATTAAAATCTTTAAAAGCAATCCTGCCATGCTTCGCTAGAGGTGTTGCCGAGGATCCGAATAAGCCCCTGAAAGCCAAAGGACAAGAGGAGCTGCTTCTAACTTGGCGTGGTTTCCCCGGGCCTCTCCTTCGTATTTCGGGGTTTCCTTCTCCCCCACCCCAACAAAACCCAACCTGACGCATGCCTGCCCCAGAGCCTAGCCGCATTGGGAGCAGCAGGGGCCAAAGGCGGCGGGGGAAGCCCAAGGAGCTGCCCGCCGTGGATTTTATACCTGAAGGTCCTCGGGTGAGATGGATCACTTCCTCCGACAGCAGATAGTCCACTCCTCCGTTCATGCTGCGCTCTCCTGCAGGTCTCTGCTCGGCGCCCTCTCGCTCCGCCAGGCCCTCCGCCGCGCCAGCCGCTTGAAGGTGAACCAGCCCAGCCAAAGTCGAGGAGGAGGGGGAGGTGGCTACAGCGGCGGTGGGACTGCCGCGGCACTTTCACTTTCATCAGCTTCGCACCCGGAAAAACGAAGGCGGCCGCTAAGAATTCTGGGGCTTGTAGTCCTCCCTGTTGCAGACGCGGCTATTAGCCCCGTTGGGGTTGCTGGGGTCAAAACCTCTGATTTTCTTACTTCCGGCGAAGAGACGATGCTTGGTTGCTACCGAGAGATGCGATGGGCGCTGTAATAGAGCCCTGTCCAAGATTCCCCTTGCGCAGCGTCGATGGGACGGCTTGTGCAGAGGCCGGATGGTCTCGTTATTTTTCCTTCTCAGTGTGCATCTTCTTTCATCCCGCGGCGACTGGGACAGGATTCCAGAAAACGCGGCATTGCTCTGCCGATATTTAAACTGGGATCACTCGGAAAGCGGCTCTCTTGATTGTTTTGCATTTTAACTCGAATCTAGATCCCAGTCTAGTTTTTATAGTAACTGATTGCATTCTGCAACCTCATTAAAAATTAAAAAGGGCAGGACAAATGGGACTATTTGCTTTTAGGCTAAATAATGAAGAAAAGTAGATCGAAATTCACGCTGTGCCTCGGAAGTTTTGGCGAAAAAAGCTTTGGGATTTTTTTAAAAAAGTTTATTTTATCCCGTCACGAATATTTCGGAAAAAAATCATTTCTTCCATGGAGACCGAATTTACTTTCATGTTTTTTCATCAAACTGAAAGAGTTGTTAGAAAAAAAAATCAGTATTGTATTGCAAAGACTATATCACTATCACATACTGGCTGCCTTCTAATGTGCTTGTTAATATTCAGTGCTGACTTCTACACCAGAATATTTTAATTATAGTGTTTGAATTACTGTGTATCTTGTTCAAAAATGACTTATTTTTGCATATTATGATAATAAGGTGACCAACTTTTTACAATGAAAAGGAGGACACAAATAAATTGAAGGAAAAAAATATAAATAAAAGAAACATTTTATTCATTGCAACAATAATATAGAATACACTATAATATGATAAATGCATAATAAAAATATTTGTAACAATAACATTTTATATTGTAATTATGCTTACATGCTGTGCCCCCACCTGCAGCCGCCCCGCTGTGTAGATGGGCCCTGCAGCTCCTAAAGCACCAGCTGTGCCAGATCCGGCAGGGCAGCCCGCCATTGACACATCCTGCCTGCAGCCGCCCCGCCAGCACCACCACCCACCCTGCACAGCCCCGTGTAGAGCAGGCCCTGTGGCTCCCACAGCATGGGGGGGGCAGCCAGCTACTGCCGTCCCTCACACCCCGCCCACAGCAGACCCGCTGCCCCTGCCTCTTGTGCCTGCAGCCATTATTGCCCTAGCAGGGCCGAAGATCAAGAGAAAGTTACTGTGGTGTCGCTACTCCAGTCTCCTCCAGGTATCTTCGGGACTAACTAGGACAGTGGTTCTCAACCTGTGGGTCGGGACCCCATTTGGGGTCGAACGACCATTTCACAGGGGTCACCAAACCACATTGTCGCCATTTTTTTCCTTTTCCCTAGCTGTCCTACTCCCTCTTATTGGTGGCCACACCCACTTGGGGGTCACCACAACATGGGGAACTGTATTATGGGTTCACGGCATTAGAAAGGTTGAGAACCACTGAACTAGGAGATGGTATAGTTGGGTAGCAGGGAGGGGTGCAAAGTTCCTGCCAATTTGTCTTCACTGTAGACAACTTACATGTGCAAAGTTTGCTGGCCGGGTGTTTTGGCATGCTCAGCAGCAATTCCTATTGGCTTTCGAAAGTCAATAGGGGGAGTAGCACAGCTCATGCAAAAGCTGAAAAAAACCCCATCAAAAAATGTGCTGGAACGCCATTCTGAGCGTTCTATGAGAAAAAAAAAGCCCTGCAGATTAGTCTTCAAATATTGAAAAGGAGGATATGTAGGAGGACACTTTTTGAGGGAGGACAGAACTCACAAAAGGAGGACTGTCCTCCCTAAAGGAGGACGGTTGGTCACCTTAAATAGTGAATTTGATAACACATTATAGTCTTATATTGTAGCATAGATTTAAGTGCACTGGTAGCTGCAATGACAAAACAGTGGTTACCTGCATGATGATACAATGCAGTCCTCACCTTTTGCATTTTATCTGAATGTTGGATGGAAGTATGTAATTCACAGAGGAAGCATTTTGACATATTTTGTTATTTGCTCCGCCCTCCAGACAATCATTTTTAATCAAGTTATTTTTTTTCCAGAGAGGATGCACAGATTTCTCATATGAAGTTACCATTGCAAACACGATAATATGACATCCTTCCCATCTCCTGCAGATTTGGAGGAGAGGAGACTCCAATCTTTCTGACAAGATTATCACATCTGCATTTCTGCAGACCTGGTTTCTGTTTGGGGCAGAGAGACTGGGGATGGTGGTTGGTTTCTGCCTTTAAAATCCTTTGGGGAAATATATTCTGCCTTCTTAATATTTCCCAAAATATTTCTTTCTCTGGATTCTTCCCACAGTTTAAAAGCAAAGTATTAAATGTGGTGGTAAAACATCAATTGCATTTTAAAGACCTTTTAGAAAAAATGTTATTTGTTTGGTTATTTGTGAGATACAACCACTGCCTCCCTGCCATGGAGTGAAACCAACACAGAATACCGTACAGTATGTTTGTACTATGCTTGTACTCAGAACAAGAATAGCAATGGCTGAATTTAACATGCCTTTTCTTGGTTAGTGAGTTTGTCTTGGTATTAGTCATTCTGATTCCCATGTAAACTTTGGGGGTAGAGATGATTGTATGAAGGCTTCCATGTGAACTGGAGCCCTTAAACTCTGGAGCTCAAGATTATGCAGAAACCATCACTTTGCCACAAGTTTCTTGTTGGTACTGAAAATTTCACTATACTGAAAAAGACTGGGTTCATTGGTGAAGGAAATAAAAGTTATTCTTTTGTAAAATATAACAATAAAGTTCTAATGTAATGATTGAAGGAAATAAAAGTTATTCTTTTAATAATTGTAGAAATAATTGTAGAAATGTAATGCCATTATATGAAACTGTCTCTTTAGTACAAATGTAACACTGTAACGTAAATGTAACAATGCAATGCCAATATATGAGAAGGAATGTTTACTGTTTCCTGTCCATGTGAAGGCACCACAAAAAGTAATTAACAAAGATAATTAATTATGATCAACTTGAGTAGAAATTACAAATAAACAAAGATAAGATCACAGAGTGGAAATTATAAATAAACAAAGATAAGACCACAGCCGGATGGAAGGAAATTGCCAGGATGACTTTTAATGTAAAGCAACTTCAAAGAATATAGAGAAGGGAAATTGGGAGAGTTACTTAGGCATGACTGCATTGTAGAAAAAGTATAAAAAGTATAGCTTGGAAACTGCTTATTGCGCTCCTGGAACCCAATCCATAGGGAAGGATCCAGGAGGCTGCGTTTGCAAACACCTCTCTTCTCTTCTCTTCTCTTCTCTTCTCTTCTCTTCTCTTCTCTTCTCTTCTTATTCTTTTTATATTATTCTCCGATAAAACTTTGTTTTGTTAACCAGACTTGTCTTCGTATTGTGAGTATCAAAATTTGGGGTTTTTACATCTCACAATGGTGACATCACCACATGACTTTACTGAGAAGAATCATTTACTGATTGCAAATGACATTGCAATGACATTTTGTAGTATCAAATGGAAGGAAAACAGTAAATGAAGATGGGAAGAAATAGATGGTAGACTGGGGTTTATGAGCAAAAGACGTGGAAATGGAAGATTATCTACTGAGGTGATAATGGTTCTTGCAGAGAGATTTTGAAGAAGCTTTCTGGAAATATGTTAGTAGTTGCTTTGTTACTAAAACTGCTGGGCAGAAGAACAGGAAATATACAGATCGAATCAATACATTCCAGAAGCAATATCAAACACAGCTACAGTAATGTAGAAATTATTTAGAAGTTGTTTTTCTAAATAAATAATGTTTCTAAAAGGCACTTCATATCATACAAACATGAATACTATTATCATGAAGGGCACTTTTTCAATCTATTTTGAGACATACTTGTTCCCAAGTAATTAATGTTAGACTTAGTCAGTGAGGGGAAACCATCAATTTTCTTGTAACCTTTATTTTTATAGGGCATAATCTGGGGGAGAGTTATTTGTGACTGAAGGTATCCAGTGACCAAAGAAAAATGGGATGAGAGGAAATGTACAGATAGACACTTATGAGTAGTACAAGGATTGGGGGAAAGTAGATGGAATCACATATTATTTATTCTCTTCTGTTATATAGTATTTCCCTCTTCACTTTCAATTTTTGAGGCATTTTTGATTCTCACTTTCAAAATCTTCTAAAAGTCCATTATATTTCTCAATTTGCTATCTTCTCACCTTTCCACCTTTCTATGACCACTTTATGCTATCATTCTTCCTGCTGTTCATTTCTTTACAAAAATATTGTAATAGGAACAAAGGTTCATAATTACTATGATTTTGCTACCATTTTGAGTTAGAGACATTGGCCATTCCCCTAACATTTTAATTATTTACATTTTTATTTAAAGAAAATAGAGGAAAAAATTCTGATATACAGTAAGTACATATTTAAAAGGGAAAAGGAAATGTATCAGAGAAGAAAAAACTGAGTATTAATACAGATGGATAACTAAAATATTTTGAATAACTAGAAATTCTAAAGCAGGGGTGTCAAACTGGCGGCCCCTGGGCCAGATGCATCATGCATAGGTCATGCCCACTCCGGCTCCGCAAAGGCAAAATGTCACATGATGCGATTGAGTTTGACACCTGTGTTCTAAAGTAACATATGGCTAATATATTCTCCTACACCATTAACAACTTACAGCATTATAAGGCATTTTCATATCCATTTTCTACTCAAAACATATCCCTATTACATAGTAAAAAAATTGGATTGGCACAATTGAAAGCAATTAAAAGAGAAAGAAAAACTAAACATAATAAATAATGTATTAAATGAATGCTCAAAGTCAGTGCTTCCTTGACTAATGAATAAATAACCCCAAACTAGGGTAAAAGTTTTTTCTTTGGATAACAACATA